TTGTAGCAAATGGTTGCATCCCTCGAAGAATATTCTACCATTGACATATGCTGACAGACTTCTCATTATTTCCACCAGGATCATAGGTACTATAGTTTTCCTAGGTTCACCCTCTCTTTGAGCTAAATTTTGCACCACGTAACCCAAACAAGTATCGATATTTCCCCTCTCTTTAGGGAAAACTAAGAAACCTAATATTGCGATGGCGAAGACATTCAATCGATATATTTCCCATCGCTCAGTGGAGCACTCAAATTCATCAATAAAAGAGTAATAAATATCTTTTTGGCCGAAGCGTGAATACAAAAAGTCGAAAGAAATCCACCCAAGATCTAAACAAGTTAATGTTGGATTGGGTTTCATTCCCAGACTCTCTAGAAACTCCCTTGATGATGGCTTATAAGGTACCATCATTTCACACTCATGGTACGATAAGTTGATGAAGCAACTAATTTCTTCTATCGTTGGCACTAGTTCGAAATTAATAAATTTGAAGACCAACCTTGCAGGGTCCCAAAAGTTCAGCAAAGCCTTGATTAAGTGAGGTCTGGTGTGACAGAGATGAGCGAAGTCAAGCCACCCAAAAGATAATCAAACCTCTAATTCAAGAGTCCACTTAATGTCATACCACCACACTCTTAGTTTGGGATTCACATCTACAGCTATTTGAACGTTGATGAAATCTGGGTAGGTCATTATAACACTACAAACAAAAATAAACAAATTCTAAACTCTATTTTGGCATGGTTTAGCATAAATTAACTATGGTGATTACGTTGAAACATAATATACAATTGGTATAAGGGTGTTGGGACCCTTTAGACAATAGGGTGGCTACTAATTGTGCGGATTGACACCAAGTGTCAAACCACCTAGGGTTTATGCAGCATGTATGGCCTAATTGAGATTTATAAGAATTGGTTAGACACAGACTTGAACAGATTCTATGCGAGAAGGCTCGTGGTTTCACGATAGTAATATTATCAATTTCTGCCACGCATATGCCGACTCTCTATAATAGGGCATTTGAAGAGAATTGGAGTATTTGTGAGAGGTGCAAAGGCACAATATCACGATAAAAATAAAAATAAAAAGAAGGTACCAATTAGGAGAAGTATGAGCGGAATATCAGTTACCAAAGCAGTAACATCTAACAATTAAATGGAAAGCAGTAACACATAGATAGTGTATGGAAAGCAGTAAATAAATAAATAAATGCATAAACAAAAGGAAATAAACATGTAAATACATAAGAGAATTAAACAAACAAAGAAAGGGGACAAGGATTAAACATGAAAATAAACAAATAAGGGAAAAGGGGAAGGATTAAACATGAAAATAAACAAATAAGAAAAAAAGGGAAAGAGATTAAGCATGGAAATGAGCGATTAAAGGAAAGCAAATTATAATTTAGACACAGAAATAGCAAAACAAACAAGGAAAATACACAAAGCGCATGAACCCCCACATAAAGCACGAAACACATAATGGTAAGAACCTAGGTATATCTCCAGCAGAGTCGTCATTCCGTCGCTCCCTATTTTTCTCAAAACGGGTTTTGCTACACGACCTAACAACTCTTTTGGATTTGTTTGAATGAAGAGTCGTCACCTAACGAATTAAGGCACGTTAGGGCACCTATCTAACCTAACTAATTTAACTAAAGGGTCAACGAACCAGAGATCGAGTAAAGGTTCAAGTTACCTCGAGGGGAAGGTGTTAAGCATCCCTCGAGGTCCAGAAATGTGAATTCCGATCGTATCTCATACAATTTATGTGGGGTTACAAGGAGCAATCAAGGTCACTATTTATTAGTTAGTTAATTAATTAGGCATGCGAACTAGGTGACAAAATAAATAAACATTAAACAATTAATATAAATACAAATTAAGAGATAAGCAAGGAGACAGAAAATGCACAAGTATATAGTAGAAAAAATTTAATTTTATTTATTAAACTACCACAAAGAGAGATGAAATGAAAGGATGAAGTGCTTTAAAATTGAGGAAGTCATGAATAGAGTTTTCAAAACTAAAACAAATATTTGTTTCTTTATAGGGATGATACCACGATATTATTAATCGCGCTCTTCCACCATAGAAACTCTTTTAATTTGAGGTCGGTCTTAGAAAATTAGTAATAATTTACTTTGGAGACGAGTGAAAAGTTTGATTAAAATAAGCACATAAATATTTGCATATAAATACACATAATCCCTTTTGAAAAATCATGGGTAGGTGTTACTCCCGAGGACGCGTCGGCTTAATTAAAAAGTGGAATTAGACCTCGTAATTCCTTTTAATTTTCCACTAACTATAGGTCAAGAGATAATACTTGTATAAAAAAAAATTAAAATGTCATATTCAATCCAAATTTTGAAAAGAGTGTTGAACAATGATTTTGAAAAAGAGAAATATAGACAAAATGATTATGTCATAAGACTTGTTTAATAATGGGCAGAAAATTTATAATTACAAAGAAGAAAAAGAAATTATTAACGCAGCAGTAGAAGATTATTAATGCAGTAGCATGCTAACAATTCGATAATTTATTTTAAGCGGCAGACATTTTATCGCAATTCAGATTTTAATCACATCGAGCATATTTTAATCTAGGGCAGGTTAGTTAAACATGAGTAATATTAAAAGCATATGTTGATTTAAAAGAAAATTAGTTATTTTAATCAAGGGCAGATTAGCATGCAAAGAAAGATTTGTTAATTTTATCTTTAAGTGGCAGTAACTAAACATGTCACAGAGCAGTGGCAGAAAATAGGCATAACAAAAGTTATTCAGCTATTTAACATGTTGAAAAATATTAAGTCCTACAGGCATAATTTCTAATCAATTAGCATGAAAGTTATTAAGCTCTTACTAATTCAACAAAATTATTAGCAAGCTACAACTTATTTAGAATTCCAAATTAAACAACATACTTATAGATTATTAAATTATTATTACCTTCAAAAAATGCAATAGTGGCAGGTTACCAATTATTTCATAGGCATGGCATCTATTAAAATCTAATGTGTAAAAATATTAATAGCCTATATGCATGATTTCTAAACCCCAAAATAAACCAAAAAATAATTAGATCATATAGGCATGCTTCCAACTTTTCTCACTTAGTGCAAACAAATCATTAAACAACATTTAGTTTGTTCAAATCTCATACATGATAAAGATTATTCAAAACCAAAACAAGGTGGCAATCAATGCAAAAGTCATTTTGGAAAAACTTCAGAATATGGCAAACATCCATATATATTCAAGAAAAATAGCTATGTTTTATTTTTTTTCATGTTATATGGATATAATTAGACTATAAATAGCAAAGTGTTATTTACAAATAAATAAATAAAATTATATTTTTAATATAATAAATAAATATTAAATAGGAAAGTAATTATTGAGTGCCTAATTAATTATGGCAGGCACATTTATGATCTTTTTCCATGTTTACCATCATCAAATTTTTTCTCTTTCATCAATATTCATACATCACATATTTTCTGATTTTTCCTCCAAATTCAATTCAAAATTCAAGATCCTTTACATCACTGCAGTAATTATACATCACATATTTTCTAATTGCATATTTATCTCGTTTTTATGAGCATTATATATCTACACATCTACACTTTCTACTATTTTCATAGGGTTTTGATTCAAGAGGAAAATGAAATTGAGATTTGTATGCTTTATTTTTTTAGTTTAATGTCATTTACTTATCTATCTCAACACATGTATTGTGTACCATTGTCTGCTTGTATTGAAATTGTCAGAAAATTTGATTTCGTATGTATATAGTTGTTAAAAAATGAGTACAAGAAGAACATGAACAAAAAAGAGATTGAGGGTTCTTTGATTGTCAATTTTGTATATAACTTAACATAGACATTTGTATTATTATATAACCACAAGTTGAACTGTTGATCTATGAATACAATTATATTTGAATACATAAGTACTTTGTCAAATTTAAAAAGTTGATTAAGGAATTCAAGTATAGTTGGATACATCAATACTATATTGTTGGCCTTTTCAAAATTTTATTTACAAGAATACTTATACAGTTTGATACCCACAAATTGTATCGTTTTTGCTCGTTTGTCTAATGTATTCATATTTTTGCTTAACAACAATGTTGAAATGTATCCATATTTATATACATAGATACTTGTATTGTTATATAAGCACAAGTTGAAATGTTGATTTGTGAATACAGTTATATCTAGATAGATAAGTACTATATCCAAGATAAAAAATTGATTAGGGAATACAAGTATAGTTGTATTCAACGTATTCATTTTTGTGTTTAACAACAATGTATTCATTGTATTTTATATTGGTGTATTCATTTTTGTTTAACAACTGGTGTATCTATTGCCATGTAGTTCACCTATTCAAAATCGAAATACTTAACCTTCATTCACAAATTCAACAATTTGCTTACATAGAAAACTTGAATTAACAAAAAAAAACTTATTAATACCTTTACAACACCAGAGTAAGAAATATGGAGACAACAAGAAAATTGAGTATGATGTATCACAATTTTTGTTAAACTAATAAAGAATATGACCTGATATATCTTTAAATAAGTAATTTTTAGTTATAAAGTTAATTATGGGAAGTTGCTCATTGTATGGACGTAATGTAAGGATAGTGGGTTATATTTAGAGTCAATTCCTTATTTAATTTGTTGTACTTAAAGATGTATTAATGTATAAATAAAAAAATAAAAAACGAATACAAAAATACAGCAAAAAAGTAGATATAAATTAGTAGTCATTTATTGTAAATAACATACTTATAGCTATTGGTATTCATTAACCCTATAAATATAGTTATTTTTGTAAGTTGCTCCATTATATATGCTAAAGGTGATTTTAGGTCGAAGAAATTAAGTTATTAGATTTAGAAACAAGATAATTATATTCAAAAGATCAATTAATCTTAGATGCATCCGCACATAATTAAATGAATAAAGAAAAGCAGTTAGCACATATAACCTCTCCCCCTTAGAGGATCCCACAAATATTTCATATATATCTATGGAGAGTTAGAAGAGCTAATACAACTATTACATGACTGAATAAAAATTATACAAATATGACAAATACGAATGTAAATAGAACTAAATCCCGTCCGGAATTCCATCCCTGGCAACTCTTCAAACTAGAACTCAATGTTACACACCCTGCTAAACGGAAGAAATCAATACAACACAAGTATAATACAAAGCACACATAATAATATATATTTTAATGTACCCAGGCAGAATAGGGCATACACACAATAATTCAAGCAACATATTACGCACATACAATCACACATATAGAAAAGGAGAAGAGAACTGACTCGGATGCTTCCTTTTTATTTTATTCATACACTTAACTTGTGAATAAAAGTAAATAACATTGCTGCAAACAGAAAGTTAAAATACATAAAATCACTAACCGTTTAAGCAGTTTAATTAAACAACAATGAAGACAAGCTTAATCCAATTATCGACACGAACACCGCAAAACCGAATAAAGAAAGCACCTCTTAGAATGTTCACCGGACTTCTTTTAGAGTAGAGAGTACTACTTTTTTTTGGTTCAAAGTGTTGAAGCGTATCTAAATAAGAATGAGGGTCTATCTTTATATAGTCCAAGAATGGACTGGCATAGAAGGAAAAGAATATAATTCCACCAATTAAAAAACAATTTTCCTTATTTAAAAGGAGGCCAAAATCAGTCCGCAAGTATAAGGAAAGGAAACAAATTAAAATTTTAGCTACCAAAAATAAAGACTAAAAAGATAATTACTAATGCCTCGTGATTCGGTCAAAATTTTACCAAGAATAGAACAAGTACGAATTTGTCTACAAATAAATAAGGCAAGGAGGTATTAATTTAAAATCAGCAAAAATAAGTTTAAAAGGAAAGAAATAACCATCACAAGAATTAAAACTCACATGCTTTATTTACTAATTAATGTCTTACCGTAGGCAAAGAGAGGATTCCAGTAAATTAAGCATAGACAACAACAATTTATGGAAGACTAAATCTCGTCCTCAGAGCAAGAGAAAGCCTTGAACAAGTTTATAATTATTTTAGCAAATTAAGAAATTAGTCAAGATGCTAACTTAGCCAAATATGAGAAAAAAATAATATCAGATTGACCTGTTTACACACAATATTAAGGCATTAATTGACTAAGAGCAATATCTCGATAATTAAGGAAAATCAAATAATTATTTTAGGGAAAATAATACGGTCCTTGATTAATTATGGCCAAAACAATGATTTATAAGGAAGAAACCAGTCAAGGAAATTCACAAAATAAGTTCTCTCATATATAAACAAAGAAATATGAAACCCACCGGTTAAGAGTTCAAACTTATCAACAGACTTCATAACTTGACCACAAGCAGATAGCAATATGAATTTGAGCAGAAAATCATAACCTTTTCTCTTAAGAAATCATGAATTGACATATAATATTCTAAGTATAATGTTCAACTAGTTGCACATGAACTTGAGCAGAAGAAACAATATAAAACAAGCAACCACACATTAGAGTTCGAGATTCTTAAAATAAACATTGAGGCAAACAACCTACAGATCGCATTTTCATACCAACATGCATAAAGACTTGAGCTTGATAAAAGAAAGATGTACCGGTCACTTTTTTTCCATTTTGGTCCTTGGTCGGAACCTTGTAGTGAGCATCTTATCGTTGTTGTTGATTTCGTAGCCACTGCCAGGAGCTTTTTTCGCTAGTCCAGAGCTGCTGGTTGTCGCCGGCTGCTACTGCTCTTTCGCTGGTGGCTTCACCAGTTGCCGGACTTCCCCAAGAAAGGGAGGAGAGGGACAAAGAGTTTCGCTAATCGGCTGGTTCCCACCGGCTGTTTATCGGAGCACTGTTGGTGTCGTTTGCCGGCGGCTACTGCTGCCTCGTTGTTGTCGCTCATCCTCGCCGGAAAGAGAAGAGAAGAGGCGAAGGGGCTTCGCCGGCTGGAGGCGCCGATGTTAGCCGGTCACTGGCCTGAACAACAATGTCTTTGTTGTTGTTGTCCAGGCGGCTGCTGGCTGCTCGTCCTCGCTGGCCGCTGGACAGACGAGGAGAAAGAGGAGACGGGGGGAAGAAGAGAAGGCGAAGGGGAAAGACGACTGGAGAGAGAGGCGGCTACCTCCAGTGGTTCGCCGACTGCGCTGGCCGGAGAAGAAAATCGAGAAGAGAGATTGGGAGGTGCGGCAGATTTTGGAGAAGAGAGGAAGAGAGTTAATGAAAATTTTAGGGTTGACGTCTTTTTTAGATTGAAATAGGAAAGTTAGAAGACTTGATCTCATCCGTTGGATAATTTGTGATGAACGCTCATGATTTAAAGTTGAGGAGATGTAATGAGATGAGTGGTCAGGATTTAAGGATGAGGCTCTTAGGTTTGGGTTTGAAATGGCTAAAATTGAAATAATAATTAAATTAAACAGGCTAGAATTGAAATGAATAGGTGGCTATAATCGAAATAAATTGGAACTGAAAAGAATTAGAACAAAACAGGCTGAAATTTAAATGATTTGGTGGAAATTAAGCAAATGTTATTCAATTTGTAAAATACCACACACATATAAATTAAACACAACTAAGTTTTAAAACATTTAAATAAATAAGTAAAGTAATTATTTCAAGTTTAACTATCGATAAATATAATAATAATAATTATTATAATAATTTTGGCAAATTATAAATAATAAAATATATACTTATTTAGACATAATTGATTGAGAATTTAAACACGTAATATGTTCTAAAATACGTACTTAATCGAATAGCTCTCCCGAAAGGGTTATAGGTCGGCAAAATCGGGTGTCAACACCTTTCACATACAACCAGATCCTTTCCTCCTTACTTCCCAAAATTTGGGTAGCATAGCGAGACAACGTATGAAACTTAGCCGCATGCAACATACATACCGACTTACTCAAGTGCTAAAAATTCATCCCTTTTTGCAGTATTTGAGAGTACAAGGTACATACTTCTCTAAGAATAGAGCATGGAACTTAGCCCAATTTAGTGGAGGCAAAACTGGCGAACAACACTCCAAATGAGCCCAACATCACTACTTAACATCCCCCCTACAACTGAAAAATAACAAACTTCACTCCATGTTGTTGCACAATACCCGGCTTATGCAACTTTCATAACAATTTAAGATGAACTCAAAAGCATCCTTACTCTCAGCACCATGAAACGACAAATGTTTCATCTTTAGAAACTTGGTCAACAACTTATAATCAGTATTTATCATGGCATGGACTAATATTGGACGGAAGAACACATTAACACCTGATGCTTCATCCATTCTAGAAGAAGTGGTAGAAATGAGATGAGCATTTGGAACCCGAGTAACCAATAAGTAGGAGTGGCTCTAGTACCCGTTATCCCACCTAAGAAGGCTAGCGCTTTCTAAACAATATTAGAAGTCACAAGGTGAGGGACAGCACCCCTAAGATATGATGTCATATCAGGTTTAACACCCTCCTCAAACTATACATCTACATCCTCTTCAACATGAGCCTAGGTAATGGAAGGGTCACCGGTCTCGGCCTAGTCATTGCTTGAGCTCTACCTCAGGTGTTGCTCTTTCTCTACCTTGTCTCTTTCCTTGCCCTCACACTATCATGACAAACTTTTACTTGTTGTTATATGCATTGTTTTGTGTTACTGTATTGTAGTGATCTGTTTACATTCATATCTTGGATTGGCCGTGTGATCCTACCAATATAATGTAGTTTGTGTATCGATATTGCACCAGTTCTTTTCTTATTGAGTACATGGCATCTTTCACCAGCTGATCTGAGACTTCAATTGAGGGATGTTTGATTTAGAATCCAAGGGTGAGTTACATCTTCAGGCTACCAAGGATTCCTCTACTTTTCTTCTCCATCTTTTCGGACAAAAACATTCGACTTCAGTTTTATGTTTAGTTATCAAGGTTCCACCCCTTGTCTTAGTTATTAGAATTTTGGTATCCTGACTTTCCATTCTTAGGGATTATTTTCCGTGTTAAATGTTTAGGTTATTGGGTTGAGTTTATGGGGACTTAATTCTCTAGTCTAAAACTATTTTCTTTATTTTAAATTATATACTAGGTTTTTATGAATGATGTTAAGTTGGTTGGCTTCATGTTAGCTTTTTCTTTTTCCACTGGGTGGCTTAGTATGGGTGTCACTCATGATGGTCAGGATCATGAAAAATTTGGTGTCAGAGCCCTAGGTTCATTGATATCGTAATACAAAAATGAATAAAGTCCTATGGAATGGTACAGGTCTGTCTATACTTTTCTGCAAGAGGCTACATAACTTTAGGAAATTTTCTTTGTTTCTTCCTTCATGATATGACTTGATTCCAACTGGTATCTGATGATCCAAATTTGTATCTAACTCTTCCACTCTTTTGTCAATAGATGGTTGACACTAAACATAACGACACAAGGGTAGTAGCTCCAGCAGTAGAACAAGCAATTACGCCTGTAGCAAGGGGATGTGGCACGAGACAGAGGAAGAGGTAGGGGTAGAGCCAGAGGAAGGGCAACACCCGCTAGAGGTGGAGCTCAAAATGTGAATGTACCATGGGAAGCGACCCCACCCCCACCCCAAGATCCTATGAAGGAAGAAGCTGAGATTGAAATAAAGAATGATATTAAACTAGAGGTGAGGAAATAGACTAGGATTGCATGTCTTCCCCTTATGAATGCCTGGACTATTCGACAAGTACTAGCCTATTTGAGTGGGTTGGCAGGTACTACATCCACTTCTATGGTTCAAACTACTCAAATTAAGTCACCCAAACTGTTGATGTTACTATTCCTAAGGTGGATGGGGACTGGGGTACTGACGCCTTGTTTTTTCCATTGCTCAGCCTTGTGATGAATAGTACATAACATGAGCTATTGACCAAGTTTTTTAATCTTAAGCCTCTAGTATTTCATAGTTCTAAGGGTGAGGATGTGTTTGAGTTCATTTCGGATTACTATGATAGGCTTCATAAGTTAGGCATTGCGCAACAGCATGGGGTTAAGTTTGTGACTTTTCAGCTTCAAAGTGAGGCAAAGTAGTAGTGTAGAGTTTATGTGAAATGTCGTTCGTCAGTCTTACCTCCATTGACTTGGCATAGTAATTTCATGTCTTGTTCTTGGAAAAGTAATGTGCCTCGTACCTTAAGAGATATGAAGAATGATGAGTTTATGGCTCCTGATTAGGCTAACATGATTTTACTTATGAGGCTAAGTTACAAGCCCTATATCGATATGTTATGCAATTGGTGAGCACTGAGGAGGAGATGATTCGGTTGTTCGTTAAAGGTTTGAGTTCTAAATTGCAAGTCTTGTTTGTGAATATGACCTCTGTATGTAGGTGTTTTAATGAGGTGTTTAACTTCATGAAAAAGGTATAGGGAGTTCGACAGGCTGGGAAGGAGAAGACATTAGCAAAGAAGTCTAAGAATATGGGTAACTGCAGTGGTTCATAATCTAGAGGGTTAGGTTAGAAAGTACATTCACCTCGTCCTATTCAGTCATCTATGTCTATTACTACTGGTGGTCAAGGGGTTTATTATGCATCAACCAACATGCCTTCACTTGACCATGGTTGTTTCCATAATGGTGAGTTCGGTCACTTTAAGAAGGAATGCTCCAGCCCACAGATAGATAGTTGGTCAAGTTCAACAGCAAACTAGACCAATGGTTCCGACGAGTGGAGGTAATCATGGTAGAGGACGTCCACTGGGTGGGTGAGGAGGTAATCAGGGAAGCAGTGGAGGCCAAAGTAATAATAATATAGTGAGAGGAGTGGTGTATCCCGGAAAGAGGGTTTCTCATAATGATGACAAAGCTCAGTGTTATGCGTTTCCGAGTAGACCAGAGTCTGATGATTCATATGTTCAGATTACATGTATTTTTCATGTCTATGATCGGATGGCTAATGTGTTGCTTGATCTAGTTTCTACTTATTCTTATGTATTTATGACTTTTGCTCTAAGATTTAATATGATTTGTGATACCCTTGATGCCCCTTATATGTGTTGTTATCCCTATTGGAAAGACGTTTGTAGTAACCCATGTGTATAAAGATTTTTCTATAATGTTTATAGGCATATAGACTCATGTAGATTTGTTCATATTAGATATGCTAGACTTTGATGTGATATTAGGTATAAATTGGTTGTCTACCTATTTTGATCTCTTAAATTGTAATGCTAGGACAATGACTTTAGAGATCCCCGGGAGGGAAAGGTTAGAGTGGAAAGGGGTTTACAGGCCTAAGTCATTAAAGATCATATCTTTCCTTTGGGCTAGCAAACTAATAGGGTAGGGTGGTGTCACAACCCAAAGTATAACCTAGTCGTAACATGGAGTATAGAACCTCGAGAGGCCTACACAAGCCACTTAGCATACATCATACAAGATAATAGAAATAAAGATCTCAAATGAAACCTTATATCATAAGCGAGTTTGAAAAAGAGAAAGTCTAATATAAGTCTTAATAAGCCATCTAATGCACCAATAGAAGTGGTTGCGACGTAACACATACACTACGTACAAAGTCTGAAAACTGAAATGACATAAAGCTATAAAATTGTGTAATGACCCTCCAGTTCATTTTATAAATTAAAGAA